CACTCTATTTTAACAGAAAACATTAGCCCAAGAAATTGCAGCAAATTGCTCTCCTGGAGATTAGCATGGATAGTATTAATGTTATGTTAATATATCAATAAGGATTTTTGTTATCTTCCTAATATATTACCATTTTATTTAATGTGAAATATTTTGGTTGATTTGTTGCTCTCTTTCCAATTAAGACGTTTATCTCTTGAAAATGATTTGCTTGTCTTTTATTATTGTCTTTACTCAGCCTGGCTTGATAAACTCTTTGTATACAAAAGCATACAGCATAAAATTAGAAATCAAGATGTACCTACCAAAGAAACATTAACTTGTATCCCAAACCTTGGAAGCCACCCTTTCACACATATCCTCTTGACATCAGTTTAAAGTGATACATTCTTTCGTTCTCCATATATCTACACTATTGTTATATTTTCGTAAAAGAAAGAATAAAAAAGGAAACTAGCTTTACTGTCCACGTGACCATGCAGATTCAACCCTTTTGCCTGATGCAGGTCCCGTTAATATTTCTTCACCTTATACAGAAAATGATTCTGTGAATAATAGCCAGAATCCTGAAAGTCAGCCTTCTCAGAGGTCTGACTCTTCCAGTGGCGAACTACCTCCACACCGGTCTAGCAGGATTTGTAGACCAATCCAACGACTGGATTTATAAAACTTTTTCAATTACAATCTCTTTTGAAAGTGGGGGAGAACGTTATATTTTCGTAAAAGAAAGAAAGAATAAAAAAGGAAACTAGCTTTACTGGCCACGTGACTTTTCACACGTTCCCATTCCTCTTTAAAAGCTGCGTTCTTCTTCCTTTGTTGATTACTGACTGCTGTGAATTAAGTTCAGTAAAGCCTTAGGAAAAGGTTATTCTATCATAGCTTTCTTCTCTAAACAACGTAACAACTATAATCATTATTGGTTTGGTTCCAATCCAATTTGAAATGAATATTTATTATTTAAATAACAATTTTGGCACAAGGCTGAAGGAGAAGGCTGGTCTACACCATCTATTCTAAACCTAGATAATCAGATTCACAATCCATTCATTTCTTACAATTTACTCATTTACAACAAGAACTCATCCATCCCCATTCAATCCAACATACCACAATACCACATATTCAGTGGGCTCCTACAAAAACACTCATGACAATTCTATTTGGAATGTGTCTTTATTGTTATATAGATAACAATTATGGTACAAAGGCAGAGAGGAAGTGGAGAGAGGCTGGTCAACATTAACTATCTTAAACTTAGCTAATCAGATTCATGACTAATTTATTCATTCACTACAAGAACTCATCCATCCCCATTCAATCTGACATATACCAAAATGCCACATATTCACCAGGAGCCTTCAAAAACACCCATGACAAACCCATTTTGAATAACAGCAAAATACTTTCCTCTTCCTAATTTATAGGTAGAAACACACAAATGCATGCTGGGATTCCTTCCTAGATAATAAAATAGATTGCTTCTCCGTTTCATCTGATTCAGTTCTGGTCTGTCTTGAAGTAAGAATACTCTGTTTGCTTATCTGAATTTGCTTGTGTGTCAATCACAATCCTTCGTTTTTGAACTTTTTGCCATATTACTGTTGCTTTGTTTTATTACTGTTAATTTTCCCTGCGCATGGTGTTTGCTTGCTTTATATTATATTTGCCCTGTTCTTTTCTTTTTCTTCTTATTGTTTCTTTACAAATAATGTTAATTCTGTTTGTTAGGCAGTTCTACCATTTATTTGCATTTAACCATGGCCATTCACGCTACAGTCATATACTGTAATTTTAGAAAGTGAAAATTTCACTGAAATATACTGGAAAATATGCTAAGTTTTCATCTAGTCAAGAAAATAATAACTAAAATAGTCATATATAGAAAATAACATTGGTTTCACTCATATCCTCTTAACCACGGTTTAAAAAGGTAGTTTAGATATTATAGGAAAAAAAACTATCATGATATGCTAGAATTTTGGAAAGTGAAAATTTCATTGAAATATGTTTCTAAAATAGCCAAGTATTCATCAGAAATTAAGAAAATATGAACTTTAAAGAAAATAGTCGCACTATATGGAGGGAAAAAGAAGTTGTCAGGATAGCCAGGAGGATATGGATAATAGCATTTCCTTAACCACTTTATAAATCTTATCATTCAGTTACCATTTCCTCTCCAATTCTCTACACCACAATATTTTAATACCAAATAATGGAAGATATAATTTTTTTTCTTTTTTAAATCTTCAGATGAAGCATTTTCAATATTTTTATAATTTGATGCCATCTTACTGATGCTTTTTATCCCAACCCTCTGGCCAGTTCCACTCTTCATTATTCCTATTATTTTATTCCTAGTTTCATTCCATCTTATTATTGATGCTTTTTATCCCAACCCTCTGGCCAGATCCACTCTTCATTATTCCTATTATTTTATTACTAGTTTCATTCCATCTTATTATAGATGCTTTTTATCCCAACCCTCTGGCCAGTTCCACTATTCATTATTCCTATTATTTTATTACTAGTTTCATTCCATCTTATTATTGATGCTTTTTATCCCAACCCTCTGGCCAGATCCACTCTTCATTATTCCTATTATTTTATTACTAGTTTCATTCTATCTTATTATTGATGCTTTTTATCTCAACCCTCTGGCCAGATCCACTCTTCATTATTCCTATTATTTTATTACTAGTTTCATTCCATCTTATTATTGATGCTTTTTATTCCAACCCTCTGGCAAGATCCACTCTTCATTATTCCGATTATTTTATTACTAGTTTCATTCCATCTTATTATTGATGCTTTTTATCCCAACCCTCTGGCAAGATCCACTCTTCATTATTAATATTATGTTATTACTAGTTTCATTCCATCTTTTTATCCCAACCCTCTGAGTCAATATCCTCTTCATTATTATTTTAGCTGCATCCAGTTATTCTATGCATTCAAGCCTTAAGAGCAAGTTCATTAAACTGTGGATGCTCTATAAATTGGATCTGATGATTTGTGTTAGAGCCAAATTTATGCTGACTGGTCTCAGATTACATTGCACTTGTGAGGCCAAGTGGTAAGTATTATTACAAAAATTAACAAAAAATGAATCTACATTTTTACTTTTAATTAAACTGTTCCAACAAAGAGTAATATATACCACTAAATTTCAAAATATCTTTAGTCAATGTTTGTGTTCTTTTGAACAGAAAAAGCAATAAAATAAAAACAACAGACCAAATGTTTTATATATATATATATATATATATATATATATATATATATATATCTCTTACTTATTATAAGCATAGATTGTGTGTGTGTCTGTAACGTTTATATATTGGATCGGATTTCCTACATTTTTTAGCCGATTTCAACAAAACTTCACAGGACTACATAAAATTACCTTGAGGTGGTTCTAACGGCGCCGAAAATAGGAAAAACACAATTGTTTTTTTTAACAAAATCCATTTGAAAACACGATTAAGACATCGTGAGAATGAAAGGGGGACAACTCACATCAGGTTAAAAAAACTCAGGTTGTTTGTGTGTGTGTGTGTATGTGTGTGTTCCTTTATATATGGGATCGGATTTCTTACATTTTTCAGCCGATAAAACAAACATCCACTTTTTTTTTTTGGCAGGTAGTGTTTCTTATTGTCTTGCACACTTTTTCCTTTATTTATACATTCAGAATGCTTTAAAAATTCAAGTTACAAGACAATTGTTTATAATAAAAATTCTAATCTAATATATATATATATATATATATATATATATATATATATATATATATATATATATATATATTAGTTATGTGTATGTGTGTGTGTGTGTGTGTGTGTGTGTGTGTGTGTGTGTTTGTTTGTGTATAGATGCTATATATTTAGAGAAAATCCCAAAAAGAATCTGCAATGTTATTGGTTCTGACCTGGCATCACAGCTTCAGTAACTTTTCAACCATCATAATGGTAGCTTCCTTGTGATTTTCTATAAATACTTTCATGCTAATTATTCTGATGATCTAGCCTCTCTGGTACGTAAACTTTATAAATTTAAGTGCAGTACTAGATTGGCAGCAAGATCTCATCATTTTACAGTTGAATTAGCTACATGTAACTGCGACTGCTATGCTAACAGTTTTTTGTAGTTCTCACTTCCCAGTCAAGTTTGATCTTCAAAAATTTAAAAGCAATATCAATCATTATCTTCTGTCTTCTTAATTTATGTTCTTTTATTGTTCTCCTTCCTTTATAGTATTTTTTTTTCTTTATCATATTCTCTCACTCAGTAATCCCTTGCATTTTTGGTGGTTTTATTGCCTTGCTTGGAGTGAAATGATTATAAAAAAAAAAAAAAAAAAAATTTCATAGACAATCATGCATCTTAATTATAAATAAGATGAAAAGGCTATTAAAATTAATCCACCGACATATACCTTAACTATATATATATATATATATATATATATATATATATGAGTAGACATTTTTGCTTTAAAAAAGTATAATTTTTGTCTACCAACCTGGGTTTTTGGAAACTCTTTAAGAAAGAAAATATGTGTCCTTCCGCAAAATACAAAATTGCATCCCTCTTACATAGGGGAAACCATTGTATAGCCTGGCATGCTTTTAGACTATTCAGTCATAAAGGACTTCATGGCAAAACATGGCTCAGTGATTCTTGTGAAGAAAAGCACACACACACAAATTATATGTATGTATGTATGTATATTTGGGCAGTAACCTTTCTTTCAAACAGGTTTTGTTGAATATGACAGAAAAGGAAAATGTGATGAATTTTCTATTGAGTTTTTGTAGTATGCTTAAAGTTTTCCATTTGTTGGGGGTTAAGGGAGTGTGGAAATTGATCCAAGTGTTAATTGTCCCAAGCACTTTCAGCCACTTCTTTAACCATTTTCAAGGGAGTGAGTTGTTAATTTCTTTATTCTGAGTCATGTGAAAGGAATGTGTGCAGAACTGAATTTGACGTCCTTCCATTTAAAAACATGCACGGAGAGCGACAGGAAGGCACGAACGGGCACGGAGAGCGACGGGGGAGGCACGAACGGGCACGGAGAGCGACGGGGAGGTAATGAACGGCACGGCGAGCGCACGGGGAGGCAATTTAACGGGCACGGCGAGCGACGGGGAGGCACGAACGGATACGGCGAGCTTACGGGGAGGCAACGAACGCACAGAGAGCGACGGGGAGGCACGAACGGGCACGGGTATGAATGGGCACGGCGAAGCGACGGGGAGGTACGAACGGCACGGCACGAATGGGCACGGCGAAGCGACGGGGAGGTTTAATGGGCACGGCGAAAGCGACGGGCACGGGCATTTAATGGGCACGGCGAAGCGACGGGGCACGGGTAACGAACGGGCACGGCACTAATGGGCGCGGGCGAAGCGACGGGCACGGCATTTAACGGGCGCGGCGAAAGCGACGGGGGAGGCATTAACGGGCGTGGTGAGCGACGGGGAGGCACGAACGGGCGCGGCGAAGCGACGGGGAGGTACGAACGGGCGCGGCGAAGGACGGGGGAGGCACGAACAGGGCGGCGGCGGCGGGGAGGATCTAACGGGGAGGCGAAACGGGGAACGGGCACGGAGAGCGACGGGGAGTAAAGAACGGGCACGGAGAGCGACGGGGGAGGCACGAACAGGCATGGCGAGCGACAAGGAAGGCACAAACAGGCATGGCGAGCGACAGGGGAGGCATGAACAGGGAGATATCGACAAACCAAAAATGATGTTGGCAGACCGAGATTGACAGACCAAAACCAACGGAAAGATATCAACAGACTGAGACCAATATTGACCGACTGAGACTGACAGAGAGATATACCATTTTGTAGCTGAAAACTTGTTCTATCCAACAGTGCAATTTTGCTGCTTTTATTAGTTTTTAGTTTCTGTGGAAATAAATATACATTACATTTTCCTAACTGCATAAAAATAGCTAACCAACCGTTGCTTTCTCTAAATGTTCACTTCCAAGCAGACCCCCTGTCTCCTAAAAGGTTGCCAAGCAGAATGAAGGATTTCTTTTATCTTTATGTAATACCATTTAAATTCTAAACCCTTGTCCTTTAAGCCAAAAATGTCTAGCATTACAGGGCAATTTGCTACCTAAATTACCAAAGCAAATGAATAAGAACTAGTACACTTACAATATTCACTGTTAATACAACAATAGCCAGACATCTATTGGATTTTTAGATTTAGTGTTATCTTAACTAGTTAACTTATACACTTTACATTTTTGATGAAATGTATTATTGCATAGTCAATATAAAGCCTTTATTTTCCCTTAGATCCTCTATAGTAATGCATCATAGCTTGATTGCAATTCCTTTAATATTGCTACTTTCTTTTAACTCTTTCATTCCATCATTGATCATAGCCTGGCTCTCCCTAGTGGCATATAAGGCTAACATATGACATTTTAACAATAGTCAATATAAAGCCTTTATTTTCCCTTAGATCCTCTATAGTAATGCATCATAGCTTGATTGCAATTTCTTTAATATTGCTACTTTCTTTTAACCCTTTTCATTCCATCATTGATCATAGCCTGGATCTCCCTAGTGGCACATAAGGCACATTTTAACAATAATCAATATAAAGCCTTTATTTTCCCTTAGATCCTCTATAGTAATGCATCATAGCTTGATTGCAATTCCTTTAATATTGCTACTTTCTTTTAACCCTTTCATTCCATCATTGATCATAGCCTGGCTCCCCCTAGTGGCATATAAGGCTAAAATATGACATTTTAACAATAGTCAATAGAAAGCCTTTATTTTCCCTTAGATCCTCTATAGTAATGCATCATAGCTTGATTGCAATTCCTTTAATATTGCTACTTTCTTTTAACCCTTTCATTCCATCATTGATCATAGCCTAGCTCTCCCTAGTGGCACATAAGGCTAAAATATGACATTTTAACAATAGTCAATAGAAAGCTTTTATTTTCCCTTAGATCCTCTATAGTAATGCATCATAGGTGGTTTGCAATCCCTTTAATATTGCTACTTTCTTTTAACCCTTTCATTCCATCATTGATCATAGCCTGGCTCTCCCTAGTGGCACATAAGGCTAAAATATGACATTTTAACAATAGTCAATATAAAGCCTTTATTTTTCCTATAACTCTTCTATAATTATTCATTATGTCTTGATTGAAACAAAGTTTTGAAAGCAAAATAAAGAACTCTAAGCTCAACAACTTAGGTTTTTTTTTTTTTTTGCTTAAAATTAGACATGAATTGCTTGATTTTTTTAATCTTACAGATTACTTTGATACTTACAAATTTTATTTTTAATACAACCAAAATTGTTTTCATTTATTAAAATTGATATTCTATAAATTTGAAATATATGATTCTATTACCTACATTATTAGAAAAATTCTCATTTTTATAATTTTTTGTTCCCATATTGTCCATTATCTGGTCTATCAATAAAGACAATATTGAAATGGTAAATTAAAAATTCTTGGTAACAATCAAAATTTACTGAAGCATTACAGATCCTAAAAAGATGAGAATTCAAATCAAAATAATTCATTTAATGATTTCTAAGATTTGCGTCTGTGTGTGTGTATATATATATATATATATATATATGAAGAAATATAGTCTTAAGGTGTGCTATATTTATGGGATAAAGTGCTCAATATCAGAGATAGAGTGTGTGTAAATATAAAAGTGAACATTGAAGTCAACACTTAGGAGGCGACAGTCTGTTTCATGCTAGATGCAATTGCCAGCCACCTGACCTGATGACTGTATCTAGCATGAAACAGACTGTTTATTGGAAAGTTCTCAATATCAGTGACAGAGCTAACATATTTAGTTGTATTGTTTGTCTGATAATTGCAAAAGTGTGAGACCCAGGGCCACAAACTCATATCCATACAACTATTATATGCTCCTGAAAAATTTATTTCGGTTGAGCTCTCTGGGGAAGAAGTGTGGGTTTGTAAACAGTGACCATTATGGCTAATAATGCATGACTCTTCGGTAAATTGAATCGAGTTCTCTCAGTCACTGTGTATTTATCTAAAAATAAATACACTTAAATTTACCTGTAATGCACCAACAGCTTAGGGGTAGAATCTCCGACTGACACCAATTCAGCTGGGTTTCAATCCTAGCTAGAGGCAACCAGATGTCTAGATACAGTGAAACTGTCTGTGGATGACAATATACATGTATGAATTAAATCCTAGATATATTTTTTAACCAATAAAATCCCATCAGAAGGTTTGTTGGATAAACTAGGGCAAATACTACTAAAATACTTGGGGGACATAGTTGCAGACCTACCACATGTTATTTTTAGATCATTTAGAAAATAAGAATAATAAATCCATTCACCACTCCCTCAAATTCTAGGAAAAGGTTTTTGCGAGCCAGTGGGTAATTATTTTTTAAACAATGAAAACCTTGTATTCAAAACATTCTCACCTCTATGCGAAATTAGATTTTGATCTCACTTATAGATATAAAAATAGTAGCCTATTGCTTCTTGAGGCTCAAAACCATTACGGAGTTTCATACACACACACACACAATGGAAGGGAGACAGCTAGCGACTAATGCCTTGTCCACATACACAACAGAAACAGTTAACTAGCAGCCACCTACTAAGCCTTTGTTTATGCACTCATGAACACACTAGGCTGAAAGTTATAAAGTAAGTCTGTTCACACATCTCACACAGCACTATGAATACATAATTGCTTTATAAAACAAACTTCACTGCAAGAAAAGGATCGAACATTTTATTGCTATTGTATATTTCTGAAAAGAATATATAAATAATGTCCTGCTTCTACTTTTCCTTCAGAAAATAACCTTTTTTTATGTCTCATTTTTGTTAAATGTTTGTAATCCTGACACTCAGATAGCAACCAAAACCTAGGTAGATGGATTCCTATATATATATATATATATATATATATATATATGAAAAATGCAAATATATGCACTATATATAATGCAGATAAAGTAACATATTTTAGACAAAGTCAATACTTTAAACATAGATAACCAATCCCACCCACCAAAAAAAAAAAAAAAGATAAACAAAGATCTAAACAAATAAAATTAACAAACTATGAATGTATACATAAACACAAGTCCAATAAGAGTAAATAAGTTCACCTATCGCCTGGTTCAAACCCTCCCTAGGTTTTTTTGTTTTTTTTAAGCAGGAATATAGTTTTATCTCTTGTTCCCAGTTTAGGATTGGGTTTCTGGTTCCTTCTAAAGTCTGTTTCCCCACTATACTTCTAATGTCTCTGAGTAAACTCTGAAATGCTATTCAATACTTAAAATCTTGACCTCTTGAAGACTAGAATGAACTATTATCTTTCCTGCATATCCCCCAAGAACTTCACTTCTTGTCTTTTCTTACACTAATACAACACCACAGTAACCCGTGAGCCTTGCATTGAGTGAACATTAGTGTAAAAACAAAAAAAAAAAAAAAGAAGTAAATATGATAATAATAGTAATAATAATAAACAATAAATAATTAAGTAATCTATAATAAATGAGAAAAATTAACAAAAAACACTATAAATAATTGCATTCAGATCCAGAATTATCTGTACTCAATAGCATCTGGAATAATTTGAAATAAACATTATCACCCACCCAATAACTGTCAGTATAATGCAATAGACCTTACCCACCATAATGCATCAATTATCAGCATATATAGTCAAGCCAAAGCATAATACATATGGCCTGAAGTTTGCATTCAAGTAGAAAACAAACTGTTGCCACTCTATTGACTTCAGTGTCCACTATATAAGTGAACATTGAAGTCAACACTCAGAGGTTTCATGCTAGACACAATCGTCAGGGTGGCCTGATGATTGCATCTAGCATGAAACTACCTATCACCTCTGAGTGTTGATTTCAATGTTCACTTTTATATTACATACACTATCTCTAATGTTGAGCACTTTATCCCATAAATATAGCACACCTTAAAACTATATATATATATATATATATATATATATATATATATATATATATTATTAATTAGTACACAATAAAATCTAAAATTACCTCATATGGGAGATTTTTCCCCTTATGATATGGGTGGGGAAAAATCTCCCATATGAGGTAATTTTGAATTTTATTGTGTACTAATTATTTGCTCTGTAATAATAAATACACTTTTTGTGAATCAGTCTTAATATTTTATATTACTAGGATCCACTTGAATTATACACCAACAGATTTATTTCCTTTACTAATATATATATATATATATATATAAAAGTGAACATAGAAGTCAACACTCAGAGGCGACAGTCTGTTTCATGCTATATGCAATCGTCAGGCCACGTGTGCTGTTATTTTTCTCGGCCATTTATACATATACGGGTCAGTGGTGCATTGTGGGTAGTCTATTATGGCGGTTATTTTACCGGAAGTCGTTTATATATATAATAATCAGACATGACTACTAAAGTACTACTGAGTATTTACTATACAAACTCCATATACCTTAGTTTGCATTCTTATTCTGTTACAGTTAGTAAAAAAAAAAAAAGGGTTTAATTAAATTTAAAGCAACTTAAATTTTTAAAAGTCCCAAATTGTTAAAAGAAATCTTTAGTTGTTTTCTCCATTTGTAACATTTTTATGAAAGTCTTCAGAAAAGTTCCTTACTATGAAATAGTCAACTCTTCCAGACAAGCAGTCACCAGACCTTTTAGTATAAAAACACATTTTCACTAACCAAAAAAATATAAAAAAATATGAATGAATGAATAAGTTACAAATATGTCATTATTCTCTGT